TTTCTAAAAATTTGTCTTGTTGGGTGTTTACAAGGAAGAATTGTTATTGATTTCTTTTATTTAAGGTTTCTCAGCATGTAAAAGCTAGAGCGCAAGGAGTAAACTAAAAATACTTTTACTTGAACTTAAATCATTGCTCTTCCTTAACTCAATAAGAGGATTTTGTAGTCATACCTACCAAATTCTCAACCTGACCTGGAGCACATTAGAGCATCTTCTTTAAAAAAAGCAACTTTCTTCACTCTGATGTGGAAACTGAGTAAAAATCACGAATAGATTAACGTATTTTGCATCAGATGAGGCATTTGTTGCTACAACGGTAGCAGACAAGCTCAATAGCTTCGTTGCTCGTTTTGGCTAAAACTCTAAACCAAAATGAAAAATGATTCTAACTCTAATGAAATTCTTAAGAAAATGAAAGAATCATTTTGCAAGAGGAGAGAAGAAGGTAGACGCTTTAAAAAATGTACAAATCTTTACTGCCAGATTCTATTGGTTAAAAGCACTAAGATTCTCCGATATAACAGTCGTCTAAGGTCGATGACATAAATGGTTCACGCGGTCTGCTTTCTCTAGATGTTTACCTTGCTTCGTCATGGGAGTGAGGTGAACTTTGCCATCACTCCTTTTTTGTGGAATTTTCAAATTTTCACAAATTTACATCTGAAACGGTGATGTTCTTGTTATCAGTGCTTCTCTGTGCACATATGAATTGTATAAGCACGAAAGGGCTTATTCATTAAACAGCTCGCCGCCCAATTCTTATCAGAACGAACAAGTGACGTTCATCGCCATCTCTACATACCTCCTCATTTCAATGATATTTTCCTTCGGACCTCCTCTATTATACTTAACATTTAAAGAATTTCTACATCTTTATTTCGACTAATAAGAAGTACAAAACAAGACTGCTGCTTCAGAAAAAAAGGTTAAATGCATTAGGAGCTCATCTGAACAATCGAAACAATGCCGGGTTCAGCTGAATCATCATTGTAAAAATGTATATTGCTCCCGATAACCATCCACAATCCATAAAATTGCAAAGCGTACCGCTTTCAATCGATAAACGCGTTTATTCTTTAGTTTGACTATAAGTTACGCCTGATTCCCATGATCTACTTAAATCCAACAAAGTTAGGATAATAAAAAAACTGTCCTTGTTTTCAACTTTTTGGCTCTTTATCGATTTCAATTGTTGTTAACCAACACAATCTATGGCCAACCAGTGATAACGTTGATTTATCAGTTACTGCCCCAGTCAGAATCTTTGCATTTCCTATTATTACGTACATATTTCATCATCTCTTCACATGATATTGGACTTTCTTGATTTGGAAGGTTTCAGAACACTGTTTTATTCCAAAATTTGTGGCGAAAATATGCTATAGAGCTCAAGAGCAGAAGTTTTTCTTCCTTTTTTTGATAAAAATGCTATAATTTTTTTTTATTAGAGTGAAAGCTCTTGGCACTGTAAAGCACGGGCTTTTTATGCAATTATTGATATTTGACAGCAAGTAAAACATTTATGTACCTTACTATATCAATAAGACAGTATAAATTTTTTTCTCATAAAGAGCTAAACGAGGTTCTATATTTAACCAACTCCATTAAGTGTTTATGTTTCCAATTGTTCACAAACAAGGAATAAAGAGATAGTGCATAACTTTTACAATAAATAGGATACTCAAAGCCCCTTGGATTAATAAAGTTGCCTCTTTGTCCCGGATTTTCAGAATTCGAAATAAATTAGCTAAGGAGCCAAAACATAGGTGTATATTAAAAAATT